CTGCAAGTATCAACACTACAATTTCTCTCTTTTCGTTGCACTCCCACCCTCTGGGAGTTTCTGATTATCAAACTTCTGTGTGTTCATTGTGGGGAAAATTTGTAAGTGTTGGCCATTGTAAAAAACAATGACAACTACAACAACAAAAAAATAGCCAGGCATTGTTGCAGGCATTTTTGTTGTTGTTGTAGTTGTCATTGTTGTTTAGCAGACCTAGGCTGTTCTTTCTGGCTGCCAAGCAGATGAACTCCATGTTTATATTAGGGGAATTCTCTACCTTATTTTTTAATTTTTATTATTTTGAGACAATCTCATTGTGTCGCCGTTAGTAGAGCGCTGTGGAGTCACAGATCACAGCAACCTCACACTTAAGTGATTCTTTTGTCTCAGCCTCCCAAGTAGCTGGGACCACAGGCACCTGCCACAATGCCTGACTATTTTGTTGTTGTTGTTGTAGTTGTCGTCGTTGTTTAGCAGACCTGGGTCCGGTTCAAATCCGCTGGCCCTGGCTGGGTGCAAATCTGCCGGCCCTGGTGTATGTGGCTGATGCCCTAACCACTGAGCTATAGGCGCTGAGCCTCTCTACCTTACTTTTTTTTGGGAAACAGTGTCGCTACCCACATGCTACCCTCTACACATAGCCTCCATCCAGACAGGATAGGGAGAAATAAGCATACACTTCAAGCTTGCTTATCTCTAGATTTGAGGATAAAAATTACAGTGGTATGGAGTCAGAGTGGTTCAGCTGGTGTGGGTGTGAGGGGGATGGGGAGTTTGGCATGGTAGCCGTAACTTGCTGCTGTGACCCCTCAAGTTTCTCTTACTGGCACCGCATGCTGAATTTTGACTTGAAATTAAATCCCTTATGTTGTTTGGTTGCTGGCAGTGATTTAAAAATATTTCTTTTGTTCCTTTTATTAAAATTGGGGAAGAGAGAGTGTGTAATCTAGTTGAATGCGTTACATCCCAGGACTTTGATAGCTACAGATATCCTCAGTTCCTTATTTTGTAGACTTCTGTGCTGACTTTGCTTTCTCATAACCATTGTAAGGGCACTGCAATATTTTATGATGGGAACCCACAGATGAGGCCCTTCACCATGCTATCTCTTCAGTCAAAACCCTTCCAGTCACTTCACTTAGCTCTTCTTGGTGGTCAGTTTATACCCTGTAACCACTGTTGGAATCTTTGGTTCTAATGAGGTCAAGACCATTGTCTTTGAGGTGGAAATTCCTGATGGTAAATTCACCTTTGTGATCTCTGTGTAGCATTATACCTTGGTCAAATGAGGTTTTTTAACTTTTAGATTATATTCTCAAAACTAACCTAAGAGTTAGGAGGAATTTTCCTTATTATCTGTTGAAATCAACTTTGGGCAAGTTAATGGCATTTAAGTATTTAAAAAATATAAATTTACAGAGCATTCATGATTTACTTACCAATTTGTTTTTTATTTTTCTGATTATCAAACCCATGTGTGTTCATTGTGGGGAAAATTTGGTAAATACCCAGAAGTATTTTAGAAAACAATGTTGGTCCCTAAATTGATCTACAGATTCAGTACAATACCTATCAAAATTCTTACTACCTTTTTTGTAGAAATTGACAAAATGATTTTGAAGTTCACATGGAAGTGCAAGGGACTCTTGCTAAAAAAAACCTTAAAAAAAACAAAGCTGGTAGACTCATTTCCTAATGTCAAAACTTAACACAAAGCTACTATGATCAAGATGGTGTGATACTAGCATAAAGATAGGGGCGGGTGGCACCTGTGGCTCAAAGGAGTAAGGTGCCAGTCCCATATGCTGGAGGTGGCAGGTTCAAACTCAGCCCTGGCAAAAAAAAAAAAAAAAAAAAAAAAATAGGGATTAGGCTAATGATTGAGAATTCAGAAAGAAACTGTAATACTTATGGTCAAGTGCTTCTTGACAAAGGTGCCAAGATAAGGTAATGATGGGAGAGAATTAGCTTTTCAACAGCTGATTCTGGGATAACTTGATATCTACACACAGAAGAATGAATTTGTACCCCTCTCACACACCAGAATTCACAGAGGTCGATAAAAGACTTATATGATTAATAAGTGCTTTCACAGGTATGACATCAAAAAAGCACAAACAACCAAAGAAAAAGATGATAAATTGGGTTTCCTTAAAATTAAAAACTTTTGTGCTTCCAAGGACATTTTAAAGATAAATGACACCCCACAGCATGGGAGGAAATATCTTCAAATCACATGTGATAAGCATTTAGTATCCAGAATATATAAAGCACTGCCTGATCAGCTTGGCGCCCGTAGCTCAGTGGTTAGGGTGCCGGCCACATACCCCGGGGCTGGCAGGTTCAAACCTGGCCTGGGCCTGCTAGACAAGAGTGACAACTACAACAAAAAAATAGCTGGGTATTGTGGCAGGCGCCTGTAGTGCCAGCTACTTGGGAGGCTGAGGCAAGAGAATAGTTTAAGACCAAAGGTTTGAGGTTGCTGTGAGCAATGACGCCATGGCACTGAGGGCGACATAGTGAGACTCTGCTTCAAAACAAACAAAAGAAAACTGCTGGATCTTTTCAGTTCAATAAGACAATCTGACTTAAAAATGGGCAAAGGAAATAAATAGCTACTTCTTCAAAAAGGTAGACATATGGCAAATAAGCACATGAAAAGCTGCTCAACATCATTATTCATTAGGAAAATGCAAAGTTGCACGATAGATCACCCTGTTAGGATGACCGTAATTAAAAAGACAGGCAAGGGGCAGTGCCTGTGGCTCAAAGGAGTAGGGCGCTGGCCCCATATACCAGAGGTGGTGGGTTCAAACCTGCCCTGGCCAAAAAAAAAACTGCAAAAAAAAAAGACAATAAAGGTCTTGGTGAGGATGTGGAGACATTGGAACCTTTTATATTCCTGGTGGGAATGTGAAGTTGTGCAACTGCTTTGGAAAACAGTGTAGTAATTTCACTGGTGGATGAAGACAGTTACCACATGACCCAGGGATTCCACTCCTTGATACCAAATACCAAGAGAAATGAAAACACATATCTATGTAAAAACTTGAACACAAGTATTTATTGCAACCCCAAAGTAGAAACTTCGTTGTTTATACTAGGCAAAAAGTAGAAACTATCCAAATGTCTGTCAGTTGGTGAATGGTTAAACAGAATGTGATATATCCATACAGTGGAGTATTAGTCAACAACGAAAAAGGATGAAGTACTAACAGATGCAACACTGTGGATAAACCTTGGAAACACAGGCCAACTGTAAAAAGCCAGATACAGAGGCTACAGATTGTATGGCTGCATTTATAAGGTGTGCTCACTTGTGTGATTGCATTTATATGATGTGCTCATATTGTATGATTGCATTTATATGATGTGCTCACATTGTATGATTGCATTTATAAGGTGTGCTCACTTGTATGATTGCATTTATATGATGTGCTCATATTGTATGATTACATTTATATGATACTATCACAGTAGGCAAGTTCACAGTGACAGCTAATTTGTTGTTCCGGGTTGGGAAGCAGGGGAGGGGAAGTGACTGCTAATGGCTATGGGTTTTATTTTGGAGTTAATAAAAATATTCTGGAGTTTGATAGTGGTGATAATTGTGCCACCTTGTGAATATACTAAAAACCACTAAATTGTACACTTTTCAAAGGCTGAATTTTATGGTATGTGAATTATACCTCAAAAAGATAATTAAAAAGACAGTAAAAGTCACATGAGATCCTGCTATGCAAGAATAACCACAGCTCAGTCAGTGGAGCATTTTACAAAATGCTTACTTAGCACTAGGCACGTAAGCCCTTTAAATATCTTCTCATTTATTGTAGTAGCTTTGTGAATCTTCTGTCAGAGCTGGGACGCCTTGACCTGTATTCTTCCTGCTAATTCATGGGGCCAATTTTACAAAGAATTTTGGATGAAGAGAGAACATGATACTTTGGAATCTAATTAAAAAACCATATTATGAAGTTAGGTACTTCACTCAAACACATGGTTGACCAAAAAATATTTGTGGTTTGGTTCAGTTAGCACTCAGCCTTCAAAGTGAAGGAAAGCAAAATCTTGAAAAATGAGTTAAATGGTTGAAGTCGTTTAGTATCAAGGAGTTTATTAATCTTTTTTTTTCCCCCAAAGATTGTAAGAAAATTAAGTAAAATTAGAAACTTCCCCTAAGTGTCCATTTATCTTGGCCTGTTTTATTAACACTGGGGTTAAAAGGTTGGTTGAATTTTGTTTTCACAGAATATGTTATGATCCTTTGCTAACTATGTGAAACCAGAGTGTTTAAAGTAGGTACATCAAGAAAACCTGCTAGCATAAAAACTTTGTAACAGTGGTGTATCTTGTTTGTTTTATACTTTGAACATTACAGAGCAACTGAGTATCATCAGTTCGAGTTTTATCTGGTGTATTTCTTTAGTGATTGATGTTTGCTCCTTATTAGTGGGCACCTAAGAACCTACTTAACATAAAACTCTGCAAAAAAAAAAAAAAAAACTTGGGTGCTTTTTTTTTTAAGAGTTCATACTTTTTAATAACTTTGATATAAAAAGTTTGTATTTTTAAATCTGTTTTAAAAACCTTGAACCTAAGACATTGGTACTCTGGCTTTATTCTTTCAGCATATAGTTAAAGAAAACTGTATATTTTCTGTGAAACTTATTTTTATATTAGATACAGAGAGTGCCAAAAAATGTACACACATTTTAAGAGATGTTGTCTGTGTATTACTTTTAAAAGCTGAATTGAAGGTGCTGGTACTGGTTAAGTGTACCTAGACATGCTGTGCATGTTCATTTCACTTGAAATTCCTACACTTTGGGGGAATGATGGATTTTACTTTCAACAAAATTGCTTAAAATGTGTATACATTTTTTTGACACCCTCTGTATATACTGTTTTATAACATACCCTCCCTGGATTAACTGTAACACTCCGAATTGGTAACATTGTGTATAATAACTTGTCTTAATGTTTTTGTCTTTGTTTAGGTTGGTATTTTGTATGGCATCTTTTTTTATCAAAATTCAAGTTTCTCCGAGAACTAGTGGGAGACACAGGATCCCAGGAAGGAGATCATGAGCTTTCAGGCTCTGAAACTGAAGAAGACGCTTCCTCCTCTCCACACAGGATCAGATCTGCTCGACAGAGGAGGGTACCTGCTGATGAGGGCCACTGACCCCAGACATGGTCATTTACGGTGAATGACGAGGGCAGTTGTCAGCCTCTCTTTTGTGACTTGATACTGAAATGACTCGTGAGCCTTTATACTTGGATTTTAAGTCCAATTCAGAAAAGATTTACATGTAAGCCATATAAAAATAAAGGGAATTAAAACCAAATTGAACCATTGCAAATTTCATTTTAAGAATAATCTTTTGCTTCACTAGCTTTCTATTTACACATTTATTCCTTGGCTTTTGGGCTTATTTTCTTGCAATGGTGCAAATCTGGTAAACATTACAGGCTTGAAAAAACCATATTTTATTAGTACTAAAATGTGTACTTTTTTTTACATTTTAACTTGTCTCAAATCAGGATGCATCGCATTACTGTCAACCAGGTGATAGTCATGTAATTCATCCTTGGTGCATGTGTGAATTACAGCTTGTCATGGTGTCATCACTTTCATCAACGTGTGTATTGTTGGTACTAAATGCGTCAGGTTTAATTAACATTTAAAAATGTCTTCAAAAAGATTACACTATGATTCAGCATTGAAACGAAAAGTTATCTTGTACGCAGAAAAGCATGGAAACAGAGCAGCAGGGCGTACATTTGATATTAGCGAAGCAAATATCCGTCGCTGGAGAAATGACCGCAATTCCATATTTTCTTGCAAAGCAACAACAAAATGCTTTACAGGACCTAAGAAAGGAAGATACCCACAAGTAGATGAAGCTGTGCTCCATTTTGTCAGTGAAACACATGCAAAAGGCTTGCCTGTCACACGCCAGGCAATGCAGTTGAAGGCAGGAGAAATTGCCAAAACCCTCGGAATTGATGACGCAAAATTTAAAGCAACCAGAGGGTGGTGTGACCGTTTCATGCGACGAGCAGGACTATCGTTAAGGCATCCAGCATTGTTTTATCCAAAGCTTTCCGCTGACATTAAACAGAAGACAGCAGCAGAGCACTCTTTCCACAAATGCTGCATCAACACTGCTCCCGACAACACCAAAGGGAGTGGTGTGTGGAAGAACGCAGCCATCTGTGCCTGTGATCTGAAAAGCGATTCACAAGAGTTGGACTCAGAATATGAAGTTACAGTTATAACTTAACCAATTTATTTCACACATTTTCTTTACACATGCACAATATCGATGTGATAAAACTCTTTTAACTCTAAAAGCACTGTTTTAATAGATATAAAATAAACATTTTCTGTGATACAAAAGCATTGTGTCATAGTTTAATGGGTGGTGATTTTTCTTACTGATGTACATGGTGCATCTTAACAGTTGGTGGTATCTTAGGTTAAATTAAAAAATAGTAGTTTGCAAATTTATTTTTCTTTTTAAGATAGCAGTTATTTATTGAGGAACTTAATTCTGACTCTTACAATGTTAAAATTGTTATCCTGTGTGAAATATGTTTTTTTTGGTAACCTATTTAAGATACTAGACTAGTACCTGGGGACTCTAAGCACTGTCTTCTACATTAATTAGAGTAGGATTAGTTGCGCCCTTTGTATGGGAGGACTTCATGCTCAAGGCATGTGTTGTGGAGAAAAATACTTTTTTGCAAGCAACAATTCAGTGATAAGACCTCAGAGGTACTATGTTAAGAACAAATAGCGGGTGACAATGCCCGCTTAACTGTAAAAGGACTCGTGACAGGTTCCTCTGTTTGTCTTTACTGGACTTTGGACTGTTTACCAAGGAAGAGAGATATGGATTAAAGAACTTTCTTGTTCAGCGTTACCTGCTTTGTACAAGAATGAAATGGAGAGCCAACTTCTTTCTTAAACTAAATTCTTTTTATATTTTTCACCTTTGTTTTCTTAAGAACTCGTCATCACAAAATACCTACTTGAGTAACCTCTGTTTTATGATGGTATATAATTATGTTGATACCTCATACTTCATGCTTACAGTTTTGTTTATTAACAGTTCACTGGTTCTGTCCCACTGTGATCCTGATGGTTGAACACCTCTTTGCTGATATTGTAGCCTTGTGGAGATACTAAAAGGGAATTCACAGAGTATACCTTTAGCTTTATGTATTTGCTAGGGGAAGATTCCCAGGTGCTGCGAGTGGGAGGAAATCTTCCTGTCTTCGTTTCCTTATTAGATGCAATTTTCTATGTGACTTTAGGGCATAGCAAAAGTAACATAGTTTCAAGCATTAATTTGAATGCTTCTTACTAGCTAAATACCACAGTAACTTCCGGTCCTTGGAGGATATTTAAATTATGTTTTCTCATAGTCAAATGTTTTGAGCTACAGATTCTGCTTTGTGGTAATAGTTGCTGAAAGGTTTTAAGTAGTTGAAGAGCTTCCTGTTGTCAGTGTTGAAGAGTGATAGCTCATGTAACTCCCTCAGATCTACAAGGGTCATGCCCAAGGGTCATGCCCAAATTAATACAGATTAATCTGTGTGAAGGTATATATGTTGGCATTATTTGTTGACATTCATGCTTCAAGCATGTCTAATTTATAGCTTTTTTGTTGTTGCTTTTTGAGACAGTCTTTGTCAACCTTGGTAGAATGCTGTGGCGTCACAGCTCACAGCAATCTCAAACTCTTGGGCTCAAGTGATTTTCTTGCCTCAGCCTCCAGAGTAGGTGGGACTACAGGTGCCTGTCACAATGCCCAGCTATTAGTAGAGATGGGGTTTCGCTCTGGTTCAGGCTGGTCTTGAACTCTTGAGCTCAAGCAGTCCACTCACCTCGGGCTCCCAGTATTTTATAGAATTTTAAGAAATGTTCTGTTTAACTTACTTGAGAAATATACCTGAAAGCATACTAATAGCTCACATTCTCCATGTTTTGTTTTTCATTTTTTAATTATCTTTTTTGAGACAAAGTGTCAAGCTGTTGCCCTGAGTGCCATGGCGTCATCATAGCTCACAGCAACCTCCAATTCGTAGGCTCAAGTGATCCTCTTGCCTCAGTTTTTTGTATTTTTAGTAGAGACAGGATCTTGCTCTTGCTCAGACTGGTGTTGAACCGGTGAGCTCAAGCAATCCACCTGCCTTGGCCTCCCAGAGTGCTAGAATTATAAGCGTGAGCCACCACGCCTGGCCTCATTCTCCATGTAACTCTCACTTGGGGAGAGTAATCACTGATGCCAATATGAACTTGTACAGACTAATACTTTGTTTGAAACTTTCCCCCCCAGTATCCCACAACACACATAATTGTCATAGTAAACATCTCTAAGGCCATTAAGAGGCAAGAGAAATAGTTGTTAATGAGGAATTATTCATGTTGTATATAGTGTTTCTGTTGTAGTGTTTTTTGTAACTAGCTTACCAGAACTACACAACTGTGTTTTCAGTCTCAGTGGGAGGTACACTATCCTATGATTAAAGTTTCAAAGGTTATAACCATTAAAAACACATTATAAGTATTAGTATTCAAATCTCATCTAAACCCTCACAAAGAATGATGGTGATCAAATATGCCATCTTTTGAGGATTAATTCTAAAATTGAGGATTGTGGAGGTAATTTCATTTCCTTCCCAACCAGATATTCATTCCCAAATCTTCTTTTGCCTCTGAAACTTTTCCTGAAAATTGCCTATATCAACTGTATTGATAACATTGCTCTGATTTAAATGCCAAAAACACTAAATGTTTGTATGTACTGTTAAGTGAAGTTTTAAAATTTACATCAAGCTGAATATCCAATTTGCTTAATACATTTTATAATGACATTTTCATAGTGGAAACATTTTTATGTGGTGAATAGCCATTTCACAGCCATGCAGACCCATTTCTCTAGATATGAGGTTTAAAAACCATTATAAAATGTTACTTTGCTGGGAGTTTGGAATATATAAAGTAATGGATTCGTGAAATATGGCATCTTAAGACAGTGAACGATTTGAAAGAGATGTGTTTTTACTTGTATGAGCTATAATTTTTGAAATTCTTTTAAGTCAACTTTTAAAAAGTCATTTTTTTCCTCAAAAAGTATGCTTTAATATAACATGTAAGCCAGTGTAACTATCGATTGTGACTAGGAAACTTCAAATGCTTTTATGTTTGAGGTTGACTTTAAAAGACAGTGGGCAGTCCTCAAAGCTTATGGACTCTCAAGGAACTAGTGGAATATTGTTCTATTACGGAGCCTAGAATGAAAGCACCTTTTATTGTCTGTTTCTAAAGTGTCCTATTGTTCTTAATTTAAAGCCTAAAGAGCAACATTTTATCTTATATTAATAAAAGTCAAACTTTCCATTTGTTGTTGTCCATGTACTACCTGTTTCATGAGGAATGTTTAACATTACCCTCTGAGTCAGTTCTATGCATAACCTTCACCACATACTGCTGCTGTGGCTTCTTAGAGGAAACATCCTGTGTTGTGCTATGATGCATTGTCATCTTGCTGCTTGACAATAAGTTTATAAGGAATTAGAATTATGTGTTTTAATAGTATCTTTCTTTGTATAACAAGATATAAAATTAGATGAGGAATGCGTGTAAATGATCATTTACTGTTTTTGTTTTACAACTGTTATACTATATCTAAAGCTTCTGTGGTTTGTATGTTTTAGCTTTCACTTTAAATTGCACAGAATAAAATGAAAGCAAAAGTTGTGTGTGTCTCATTGATACAGGATAATAAGTATGATGGGTGCCTTGGACATGAAGGTATTTGACCATTTTTACTAATGGTCCATGCTTCACTTCATTTTCCAAAGTAAAAATCTGTAAAGATTAGAGGATAGCAGTATTTTTTAGTGCCATAATAATTCACTTAAAACCTAGATAGCTTTAGAGAAAAAATCATTATACTTACCATATTTAACCTTTTGTTTTCTTCTCATACTATATCCAGTACCCTTAAGATTGTTTTGATATCTTATTTGCCTTAGATCTTATCTCACTTTTTTTAGAGTGAACCACCAGAAAGATTGAGGAAAGTGAACAAAGCTAAGTTAAAAGACTGAGGAATACCTTTGAGAGCCTATTTGAAATAGCCATGATTTCAGTGACTAGGGACTAAAGTTGTAATTACCTTTTTTTTTTTTTAAAGCAGTGCTCAGCTGCCAAGAATGCAGGATGGGAAAAAGTGGGTTGTGCCTAGGTTGGGTTTTATGAGGCAGAAGTGTCTGAAGGGCAAGGTCATGAGAGATTGTTAGAGATTGGCCCTGGGATTTGGGCTGGGTTGTAAAGAGATGTTACAGCTGTAGGGCACTGGCAAAACAGGTGAATAGAAAGGCATAGGGATCAAAGATAAAATGGGTATGATGTGTAGGATGAATAGAATAGGATGTTTGGGGTGGAGATAGGATTTTAGAGGTCAAGCGTCT